CCATCGCAAGCAATCAAACAAAACAAGCAGGAACGAAAGGTACGTATATGTTTGTAGGAATATGAAAAAAAGTTACTCACGCACTGCACAAAATTCGCAAAATAAATATTAGAGACGTTAATTACTGCCGTAGACGCCGAAACACCAACGAGCCGTAAATTAAATGCGATTAAAAAATGTACTAAACCAAAAATTATTTTCGTTCGTAACAACTTCACCCTTTCAAGGCAAGTTTCGAATATAAACTGAAGCTTTATATTTAATGAATAAACACCTCAGGAACCTCCGCCTATGATTTTACGAGTTTTACGACCGTTTTATGACTTGGGCCCTCATTTTGTGCTATCGACAAATTATGAACGGACTGTAGGCACTTCCAACTGTAGGGAATTTCTAGTATTATAATTCCTATTACCATTAGGAGTAGGAAAACTGGTTGTGTGCGATTTTACATATTTTAATATATCATAAATGTATATATTTGTAACAGTCAATATTCTGAGATTTTGGAAGATGAATTTGCAACTTGTCCTTCTAGTAACTCCTGCTATATACCTTATGGTTCTTTTTTCATTGTTGAGTATTCTGAACCAATCACTAGATGCTTCCCAAGCTATAATACCATAGGAAATGTTACAATGAAAGTATGCATGGTATATAGTACATTAATAAGAGTGATCTATTTACATTCCAGCATAGTAGTTATACAATAAGATATTGAGGATATCTTTATACGAATCGTATTAATATGCTTGTTCCATTTGAGATTTTCTGTTATCTTTTTGTTATCTTATATACAATTAAATATTGTAAAATAATTGGAAAATGAATAGGTTTAATGTAATTTAAATCTTATTTTTTGCTTTTTAGGGCGTAAATAAAAGCTTTTTTTTTTAATTTTTTTATATTAATTTATTTATAACAAATGTTAACATTAATAATCGCGAAAAACTAATATTTGTGACCTTTGACCTTGAATATACTTCCAGCGCAGACACGAGATTTTATTGACTTTTGAGACAACTTGTAGAACACCAAGATGAAGGTGTACACAAGTTTACAACTTGTTATCTCTCATTCCGAGATGAAATGCCTAATATGACTGGACTATAAGGTAAGGCAGAACAAGTGCAGAATATATATTATTTTAATGTTTTTATCGTCTGACAACTCTGTCCTGTTTTGTATTTAAAACCAATTGATATAGAAATGATATAGATTTTAGTGTATTGTGAAAATATCGACCCTATATATGACTGTATATACCGGGTGTCCCACATTTTATGTGACAGGCAATATCTGGTTTGTTGAAGGAGATACACAAAAATGTTTCATACAAAAGTTTTAGGAGTTCATGAGAGCTATATTTTGATATAGTTTTTAAATATACAGGGTGTTTGGTGTAGGTGCTACAGACCAAAATTCCATTTTTTAAAATAGAACGCCCTGTATATCATTACATATTCAGATGCTACGTTAAATTCTGATATCATTTCATGTTTGGTTTTTGAAATTCGGTTNTATGTTCTAGCCCTTGGGTTTAATCTTAGTTTTTAGTAATTATTTCTCTTAGTCTTCAGTTTCTATTTTTCTTAGGTTTAATTTTTTAGATTTAGTTTTAATACTGATCTTAATCATGAGTATTTTATGTACACCTTTGTAATAACTTGTTTGTATATTGGGTGCTGCCCGTTAGATAAATAAATAAATAAATAAATAAACAAATAAATAGATATGTAATAAATTAGGGAAAACTGTTTTTATATCTATTTCACTGTATTGTTGTGAACATATTTTATAGTAGCATAACTATATATACATTTATAAGTTCATCCACTTTCAACATCCGACAATCAATATTGGTTTGCATAATTTTAATTTTATTTAATTATCATGACCTCCTGCTCATTTCAAGCAGATACGATTTATGTACTATTACATTTAGAAGCTTTGTCAATAAGAATTCCATTCTTTACGACAATAAAGCATGCTTTGATTTGATTTGAATATGTACAAGTGCATAAGCAGGTCATAAATTCTGCTCTTGAAATAGAAAATTGAACGTATTCTAAATGGCGAAACACGTGTTGCGTTTTTGTAAAACTGTCCAGTGAAAATCTCACAATAAAGTGTTTTTAGAATACGTTATTATGGATTTGAATCAAGTATCCGTCGATTCCATCATATATAGAAAACTGAATACATGAATATACAATGTGCGATACCTCTAATTTTCAGTCATGTCCTAGATATATTCAACTGCCAGATTATACAAATCAAAAGACATTTCTTAGCTAACTGACAGTTTTGTTTTTATTTATTTTTTATATAGATTCACAAATTATATTATGTAGGTAAGTACATATTTGTAAATGCTACTGTTACTCCCTATTCTATAATTGGGTTCATCTTGTAGAATAGTGTATAAAATAAATAAATTAATAAATAGTAACTTCAATCCTTATGACTATAACTACCTGATGAATTTCTACAGGATAAATTCATTGGGTAAACAATATAGCTTTCTAGGAACAGCTCATAAAACTGGAGATTAATGAATAAAATTTTTACCTGGGCCAACTTTTTACCTACTTTTAAGATGTATCTTAATGATGCTCAATATGGTTTCAGATCGATGAGGTCTACATCACAAGCAACGACGGAAATTGTTCACACCATTGCCCATAATAATGATATGGGTAGGAAATATTAAGAGCAGATAGTTTGTTTGTTCTATTCTGTATACCCTTTTTCTCGCCAGGAAATACTTCGTGTTCTCAAAATTATTCTTGAATTTAAGTAGCCTTTTGAGTTAGAAAGCAACTTCATAGATTCAATATGAATTTCATCAATATTCGTTCAAACAATTGCAATATCCTGGTAAAGCCAATGAATAATCATTTTATCTTCTAGACTAAAGATCTGATGATTTGGATACATGGTGATACTGGGTTCAGCTTATTATGACTAATTGATAGGTAATATTGGTAATCTGAAGCTTTAATGTACGAAAATCTTCCGGTAATTATACAGATTGTTTACCCAAGTTTTTTAGATACAAACCAGAAATCAGGCTATACAAAAAATATAAAAGTAATTAAGTGAGTTACCACTGAAACTGTCCAAAATATTGCTGAAAGAGTGGATAATATGTGTTCTCATCAAAAACCTTGGATACAGTTTTAGAGTAAAAGTACCTTATAATTCCAAAATAGGAGGCACTTAATTCTCAGAAATGACTGATGTTTTTGCCTTAATCTGTCTCTTGCAGTGGTGTGAGGAAATTATGCTAAACAGATGAGAAAAATTTATAAAATATATAGAATCACAACCTTGACAACAATGTTTTTGTTTTAGTGCAATTATATTTCTGAGAATTTAGTGCCTACTATTAAGGAATTATACTATAATTCCTGCAAGCTTGATTGTATTCAATACTCTCTAGATGAAGATTAACTTTAGATTTTGTTAAAAGGATTTAAATTTTATAAAGTGTTGAATATTGAAATCTGAGTATTACATACGGGATACACAATAGAAGACGACAAGGAAGATATCTAAAAGATGTAAAAAATATAGTTGTAAGATCTTCAATTTTGAAAATAAACAATGTTTCTTGTCAAAATAAACATTTAAATTTTGTGGAAACTTCTTACCTTCATCCGTATCTTCAAGCATTCCTTGCAATTCAAGGAAATCTGCTCTTGGTAATCCGCACTGAGTACCGAATTTCTCCAGAAAAGCACAAATAACTGCAAAATTTGGGTCGTTTTCACAAGTTGCTTCTACGTCAGACGCCATTAGAGCGGCTGGGGATCGGCAGTTTAAGCAGGATAAAACATTTTTTATTTATGTAACTATATCTGTAATACTAGACATCACACACAACAACAACAAAATAAAAGGAATAAATTGTCACATAAACAAATCAGTCAACATATTTCTGGTTGTGGATATAAGACAAACAACATTTCAAAACCTGTTGTCATAAATAAATCCTCTCCCTTCTGTCATATAACCACAAACACAGAAACAAGAGTCAGATGTCAGATCACAAAATAGTAAACAATATATTCTGTGATCAGATTGTCAGATAGTGTTTTTCACTGGTACACCAGTGTAGTATTTGATCAACTCGGGTTAACTCTATAGAGAACACGTTTTGATGTATTTTAAATTTAACACGTATGAAGCGGTGGAAATTGCTTGCAAGTACAAATGAAACTTGGATTTTTTCATAATGCAAATGCCGAATTTTTTGGACCTGATGGACAAATGATTCGTTACTTTCGTTGTCAGTTGTCAAAACTGAAATATCCGATACTTTCCGAGAATTGTTTCTATCATTTTTGTTGATCTTGAGGTAGAAATATGGAGTATTTTATATAGTATTTTCCCTTTTCAAAAATCAGTTCATTGTGAGATTTTACTAAACAGTTTTATAACAACGCAACACGTGCTGCATTTTTGTAAAACTGTTAGCGGAACACGTGTTGTGGTTACAGTATTTAGTGAAAATATCACAATGAAGTGTTTTTCGAATACTCCATAGATTTTCATTACATATTTTGCCTATTATTTTCAGTTATTTCTGAATATTCATAAGAGAAACATAAATGATATGCTGGCATTTGAATAAAATGGTAATTCGAATTCAAGATCTAATCGAGTTCGATACCCCACCGGGAGTTTTTTAGGTTTCAAGTTCTTATATCTATCAATTTTTTTCGCATATCTCTTCTGGAATAACTGAGTTCAGAACGGTACTGCATATAGGTAAAGAAATTCTGGTTCGAAATATATTTTATGATCTACTTTCACGGAATTCTCATTCAGTTCACTACATATTGAAGTGCGTGGCAAAACTAGGGAAACGGGTTTAATTGAAGTTACGAGAAGTGAAATAATCTATATCACATTCCACATTCTACAAGGTCGTCTAGAAAAGTTCAAGTCATCCTAAATCGTCTTAGCCTTGGTCATACAAAACTAACCCACGAATACCTCATATTCGACAGTGAAAAACCCCGATGTTCAGTGTGTGATATAACACCCTCAGTGTAACATATACTGGTTGAATGTCCCCTCCATACTATCCAAAGACAGCAACATAACATGAAGTTAAATGTATCGGATATATGAGGTGAAAACTGTAAATTTTGGCCATGAAGTATGTGGCATCGGAGTTCGTTCCAAAATGAACTAAAGTCCATTCATCTCAATGGAAGATCCCAGGAGATCCAAGATCAAAAAAGCACGCCAAGTTTGATGAAACGTGGAACTATGAACATATGTTCGATTTTGTATGACTTGTTTCGTGTTCTCTCCAAGACTTAATGAACGGATGAGAAGATTTATTTTTATCAAAATCCAAGAGATGGGTAATTAAAACGTTGGAAGCGAGCACGACGTATATGTGAACCATTCCCATCAAAGGAAATGGAACCCAGAACAGTAATGATATAAACAGAGTGAAATATCAGCATCGTAATTTCTGCGTTGGAAACAACAACTCGAGCTTACAATTCGGGCACTGCCACCGTTATTACATCGCCTTTGATCATGTCTACTGCAGTAGTAGACTGAATATCAGACATAAAAACCTGCAGAACACGACCGAAAAAACCCGGAAAATAGCTTTCATAGCTTTCACAGTATATTCTTATCTGAAATCTGAAGGCATAGATTTATATTCTGTGATTTTCAGGATTTCAGTCACAGCTTTGAAAGTGCCCCTCCCCAGCCTGGTTATAGTGTGTACGAAGTCAATTCAAATGGCATGAAAACTTAATAGTTACCGAACGTATGGTGTGGGCGGCGTGGTATAATTATACCTCGCCATACAAAGAAACTGCCAACGTTAGATAAATATTTATGTTTAATGCCATTCAAAATGATGGCGTGGTATAATTATATCACGCCGCTCATGCCATACGAAGAAACTGCCGACGTTCGGTAACTAGTTAGTTTTCATGCCATTCGACTTGATTCGTACTCACTATTATACTAGTTGTCGTCCCGGAAAGGAAACCACGATGAGAGCCATTGTCCCATACTCCAGATATGTTCTGTCTGTGCCGTCTCAACCTCATGGTCCAGAGAAATATTTTACGATTGTTCATTCCTAATTGAAATATATTGCATTGTCAGAATATAAGTAATTGGTACCCATTATCCAAACAGTGCTCATGTAAAGTATCATTTGGCACCAGGAGTAATTGTTGAAATTTTCCGTGGAGTGTTGCAGTATTTCATAAAATTGTAGGGCATGCTACCCTAATGTATAAATGTATAAGTATTTTCAATTTCCAGCATTGTCACAAACAGAACAGAAGATATATGCTATTTCAGTCTCCCAAAATAATAATAAAATTAAATTTTATAAAGGGATCGAAAATGATACTTTTGAGTATTTCCGATATCCCAAGTGCCGAACCATAACCTTTTAGGAGTGTTGAAATCTATAATATAATAATTGGTTATTTCATGTTATTTTCTCGTTACCTGATTAATCACTAACTAGCAGATTATATCTTTTTGAAACACTTCAATTCGTAAAATAGTTTTCCTCTATCTGAACGTTACCGGGTACCTAAACACTTCCATTAGTCAAATTTCTTTTAATGCGCATCGAAATAGATAGCCGTACTAATGACGTATTTGCCACATACGGAATTTTTCCTATAATTCTCTATCTAATGCAGTCATGCACTACATGCATTGTGAAAGCGACATAACAGCAAGTGCAAGCCACAAAACAGCAAGCGCATTCGTGCGATTGATTTGTTTGGGGAATAGGCAGGGTTGCCTCTTTCATCATTTTTGTAATGAATCTATTACTACTAGATTTTTATTACATTGTTATTGCAAGAGTTTACCGTTTTCACATATATTTTGACAGTTTGTCAACCTTCTATGTTGCAGTCAGTTACGTTTGGGCTCCATGATTTTTTTGGACATAGGACTCAAAAAAGAGCAAACTATAGATACGTCTTTCGAGCTTTTGGCCCATCATTAGTATGGGCAAAACTTGGTTGCCAAAAAAAGTAAAAATACACGGAGCTATCAGCAGAAGCCAGCCGAACATTTGTGAGTTCGGTTAATAGAATACTAATTAAATTACCACGGACGGAACTGTAGCTACCTGCGTTGTAATTTTAGTAGTATTTTTGTAAACACAAGATCTATTGATTGAAGATGTGCGGCTAGCTTCTGCTGATAGTTCCGTGAATTTGTACTTTTTTTGCTGCACCAACGTTTCCTATCTCTGCACTAAGCTGCACTATACTGATAATGGGCCAAAAGCCCGAAACACAAATTTCCTTCTTGAATATAGCTCTATGAATTTATGCAAGCTTCAAAAAATGTCACCTTGATATATAAAGCATGCGCAAATACAAAAGTTATGAAATCGCTGAATTTATTACAAATTATCTAAGTTTCAGTACAAAAATAAGATACTTAGTGGCAACTCCGAGAATAGGGAAATTTTATATTTTGTTATTCGTGTAGGGTTGTAAACAGTGAACACCTAATCTATTTTACGTAGGATTTTTAGTTTTACCAATAATTAATTTTGTTTGTGTATTTAAGAGTACATTTCGATTTGAAAGAAAATGAACAGCAGTAGCCCGACGACAGGTAATGATTTGATTGTATGTTGATGATTTGCGGAAGATTATATGAAGTCATCCTTTTTATTGAATTCACATTTTCCGTTTATGAAATATGTTGTGAAGATACTATAGAAAATGTTGATTCTTAATTGAACGTTTTATTTATATTTACAATTGAATGAAACATTCACAATATTTTGCAATACATAATTCCCCAATATAGGCATTCATAACAAATTACTTTCACTGAAATTTAAACATATACCTTTTTTCTTCTCACGATAGTAGTGAAATAGTGGAACCTCTGAGTTCAAAGTTATTGTTTGTAATGAAAAAGATCTTTTCTAATATCATACTTTTGAAATACTTCACCCAGGCCATATTTTACCTTTCTATATTGCCAGATTGGAATTTGTACCTATTTCACATTCCTTGTGAAGTGGAAATAATAACTTCCATCATTTATTATATCTTACGATTGTGTGGTTAATTAATAATGAGAGCCCCATTTTTAAAATGTTGTTTCCTAGGAAAGTGCATATATCATCATATGTGTAAAAAGCAAGGAAGGGTATCCTACTGAATGCTTGAATATAATCGCCAAGTTATTGTTAGGTACCTGAGTTTTACCTACCCAATTAGTGGAAAATGTGTACCTGAGTTTGATAATAAGTCAGTTGAAATAAGAAGAGAAAATGTACAAGCTCATTTATTAAAAACAATAAAGACAAAAATTCAGTGTCGGATCATGAGTATATAAATTGACCTGTGGTTCTTGCCTAAAACTTTATATTGGCCAAACGGGGAGGACTTTTTCCCAAAGAATTAAAGAACATAGAAGAGAAACGTTCGAAATAAATAGATTTAAGGATTTGGATTATTTACTGAATGACCAAATATAATTGAATAACTCTGTTACTGAATATTTTTTCAAATGTGGAAATTGGTAATAACTGATCCATAGGTTCAGGTAATTTCAATCAATCATTTATTTAATCCTGTGTAACTTACAAAGTTATAGGATAGTCAATTCGGAAAAAAATCCTACAAATAAAACACAAAACAGAGACTTTTTAGATTGTATGGGAGAAAGTTGTAGTACAAACCAAAAGTATTGCTCCTTTTGATAATTCCAGGTTTTCGAAAGGCACGTAAAAGTTATCTTTTTTCCTTGTATTGCGAATATGAATATCACTGTTTCTTGGAAATGTATTTCGGTTGCCATGTCTGTATGTCGGGAGCGCATGGGCAGGTCAACTGAATCTGCTACTACCCTTTTTGTTGATTTCATATCTAGGAATATGGACGATAGGAAGCACGTGGCAGGAATTTTCTTTGACTTGTCTAAAGCTTTCGACTGTATTGATAAAGTGTTTATGGCTTCCAAACTGTATAATATTGGCATTAGGGGAAATATTCTTGACTGGATCATTTCATTCCTATCAAATAGAAAATTCTTTGTAGAAATAGATAGTGTTGAGTCAGAAAGATATTCAGTTGATGTTGGAGTAGCGCAAGGTTCAATTCTGGGACCATACATGAATGAATAAATTTCTTTCTTTCTTTCTTTCTTTCTATGCCAGTAACTGTTAATTTTTTGTATTCTTTGAAAATATATAGACATGAGTGATCAGGGGGACAGTCCACAAGACATTTTAGGATACGCTCCTGAGACACAGAAACAATAATTACATAGGGAATTCTGGAGTGGATTTCGGCATGGTAGTATTTAAGGAGATGGTTCACACGAAGCACGTTTTAAGTTTCTTAATTGATAGCCAGAGTTCAAATTTTTACTTAATTCAGTGCAGTGATATCGAAAAGATAGGTTGCAATCAAAGAATACTGCTAGGGATTCAATATCTGTTACTGTATCAATTATACTGTTATTTGAATTGATATTCAGAGCCATTATCTTTTTTAAGTTTTCATGGAGATGTTATAGTGTATAATTAGTTTTACTGGAGTTCAGTAACAAGGATCTCAGTTAAAAGTGAAAACAAAAAAAATTTAATCGTGCGCTTCAAATTTTCTAAGGGGGTGTTAAGTGCAACAAAAAAAGCTCTCACTCAATAATCTGATGATTTCGATCTGACGCAAACTCGCGGCCATTATTATAATGTGCAAAAAAAAAGCCATTTTGAAATACCTACTCAAGCGCGTCAGATTAGGATATATATGGTTCATCTTTATGTTCTAGACGTGCTGTCTCATAATCTGACGATTATCTAGAGGGATTCGCCTAATCTGACAAAAATTTTTTTTTTTTTTATTTTTCTTAAATCATCGAACTTAATTAATTGAAAAGCTCAGGAAATACCATGCAAATAAATAAGTGTATGTTTTTCAAGTAGAATACTTGTATTTATAAGAAAATATTTTTTTTAAAATGCTCAAAAAAATAATTTTTTGAAATCGATTGATTAATTAATCATCATCTTCACCACGAACGAGTCTCTGTGATCAGCTGTGATGGCGTCATGGCAACAGAATTCAGAGTGGGGACGGAGTGAGAGAGTAATAGATAGAGAAAAAGTGAAAGAGGAATATTAACTCGGAGAGGGAAATTATAGGTACCACACAGCTGCATGAATTAAACTTTATCGACGAATTTTTGTTATTTCGGCTTGCGGAAATCGCCAGATTATATATTTTTCCTTATCTTTGAATGATTTCCTTCAAAATAAAAAAAATCAGCTTCGTTCGAGAATGTCGAAATGACGTTATTTTTTACAACTTTGCTGCCCTCCCCTTTCTTTACGTCACTCTCAAATTGTCAGATTACTGGAATATACACTTTTTAGCATGTAATTAACTCACCCTACCTTAATCTGACGGGCTCCAGAATTTCTGATGATCAATTTTTTTTTTACTAATCTGATCCTTTATTCTTCACGGGCGGCCTTATATATGGGGTTTATATTTGGTGGAGGTACTTAACCAGGTACAAGGTAACCCCCTGTATATTAATCTGCCGCGCTTTAGTAAATCCCGAAATCCCCGCTTGGGATCCCCTATTATCTGTCAAAGGACCAACTGGTTGACTGAATTTGTAATTTTTATTTGTTGTGATTAATTATCTTCAGCTTTTAATAGTAACGGGGAGCCATCTGCATATAATGTGATAGAGGTATCTGATAAGGTCATGGTCAGATCATTAATATACAGGGTGGGCCATCGAAAACTTGACAAGGAGGTTTTGGGTACTAATCTTGCAAATTTGAAAAAACGCTCAGACAGGTCAATTTTTATTGGGAGGGGGACAGTTTTTTCTCCATTTACAGCGTCGTCACTTCATCCCCAGAGCATAGGGGTGAACAACCCTTGGAATTTTAATAGGGAACAGGGGGCGAGTGGCACATCGTTTGAAAGATCTTGGAATTCTCTAAACAATGGTGTACATTTTTTCAAATTTGGACATATTTAAAAGAGTTCTTTCCGATAATTAACGTTTTCAATATTGTTACAAGCATCAAATTGTTGTACTCCACTGCTCATTTGGAATGTATTTGGAACTGTTTCATTTGTTTCTTACGCTACTTTTTTTGTTAATTTTTCAGTCCTTCTCTGATAAGAGGACTATTGAGAAATGGTTAAAAATGCTGTTTCTATTTCTCACTTTTATGTTAGATAGATAGATAATTTATTGGTGTTTTATACATTCATCAGTATTTACACAAGTCAATATGTACATATAATTAAAATTAGTATATGTCAGGTATCTATTAATATTTACATAAACAATAGATGCTTACAATTCATAGAACAAGTTTTTTTCTTTTTTTATAAAAAATATTTATATCTTATAAGTACATAGGAAAGGTTAGTATTTTTAATGTAATGAATGAATTTCGACATTCATCTCTGTAGCCGATATTGTCTAATATTCTAATTGCTTTCCTTTGGTGTCGGAATATTCTATCACAATCGGTTGCATGTCCCCAGGCAACAATACCATAAGAAATGATGGATTCATACAAGGAAAAATATGCCGTTCGAAGTGTTGCTTTTGAAACTTGTCTGGAGAGGTTTCTTAGTAAAAATAGATTTCTCGTTGGCTTTTTTGATAGTTCATTTATATGATGATCCCATTTTAACTCACTCTCAAAACGAATTCCCAAAAATTTCACACTACTTTGCGAATTTGAGTAATTTTCCGTATTTCTTAGGGTGAATACCATGTTTTGGGTTTTGTTTTTATTCAGATATAATTCGTTTGCATTGAACCACCTTTCAGTTTGTGACTGTGCTTCAGAGGATAATATAAGTACCTCATCTAGAGTTTTAGCATTTGTTTGGATTGTCTGCATATAAAATATATGATAACGGTTTTCCCAACGTGGTAGGTCATTAATGAAAATTATAAATAGTAGAGGTCCCAAAATAGATCCTTGCGGTAGACCAGTTGTAATTTTTTTTCTTGTTGGTAGAGAATTGCCCACTTTCACAGTTTGAAATCGATTTTTTAAGTATGAGTTGATCAACTTTATAGTGTTGTCAGAAAAATTATATAGTTTTAATTTATTCGAAAGAATTTCATGTGATACACAATCAAATGCTTTGCTTAGATCACAAAAAATTATTTCTGAATACTCTAGTTTTTCAAAAGTTGTTGTTATTTTGTTGTTAAGATCTAGTATCGCCATTTCAGTGTTTCTACCTTTTCGGAATCCATACTGGCAGTCTGTGAATATGTCATAATTCTCAAAATGATGTACAATTTGTAGAGCTATACATTTTTCAAATATTTTTGATATTATTGGTAGCAGAGATATTGGTCTGTAGTTTGTGATATCTACATTATTACTAGTAGTGAGTGCCGTAAAGTGTTGCTAAAGAAACAATGGTGTACACAACTGCAGAGAGGGTTGAGTTAATTGAACTGTACTATGAAAATAGACGTTGTGCTGTGAGAGCCGTTGAACTGTTCAATCAACAACATGGGATGAATGTGTCGCGACAGTATGTTTTCGATTTGATTGCAAAATTTCGCGCAACTGGATCTGTAGCAAATAAAAAACGGCAAATCGAACTACTAGTAATGAATGAAGCGACACAAGTGGCAATTCTGGGCCATGTTGAGCTTGACCATACTTTGAGCACAAGAAAGTTAGCATTTGTTTTCGGGGTGTCACGAACTAGCATTCGGCGTATTTTAAAAACCCACAAAATGCATCCTCACTAGATTAAATTAACGAATGAAGATGATTCCTATCGACGCTTGCAATTTTGCGAGTGGGTTAGTGAACGAGCGGAGGAAAATCCACACTTTGTTTTCAACATTTGCTTCAGTGATGAATGTTCTTTTTTTCCAAATGGCAGAGTTAACCGCCATAATTGTCGCTAATGGGCTAATTCAAATCCTCACATTTTTTATGAAGTGCATACTCAACGTCCACAAAAATTAAATGTATGGGCTGGAGTTTTTGGTGACCATATTGTTGGCCCATTGTTTTTAGAAGGCCATTTAACTGGACAAATGTATCTGGAGCTTCTGGAAGATACTATAAATCCCCTTTTCACTGATATTATTGAAAATGACCACAATTATCGGAAGGATCTGTTAATATTTCAACAAGATGGGGCTCCTCCGCACTATGCTCTGCCTGTTGGCAGTATTTACATCAGACTTTTCCGGATCACTGGATTGGGAGGCGGGGCACTATCGAATGGCCACCACAACCACCAGACCTTTCGCAGTTAGATTTCTTTTCTTCCTGTGGGATCATTTGAAAAGCAGAATTTACTGTGCTCCGCCTATATTACTCGAAGAGTTACGGCAACGAATCACAAATGAATGTCGTCAAATCACTCCAGAAATGCTCCACAATGTTCGAGAACGTTTCCAGCAGAATCAAATCAAATCAAAATATGCTTTATTACCCAAGATATGAACATCTTATTGGCAAAGTCTAGTAAAGTAAAACATGTATACGGGACAATTAACAAATATAAACTATAAAATAATGCTTAGAGACAAGAGCAGAGTATATGGACAGAACAATATCAAGTCCAGCTGAACAGAAACAAATATAAGTACATGAATTTATGAATATTAGGTAACTGTTAATATATAATGCTACATAATGAACATTGATAGCCATTTCGTGTTTGTTTCAATAACTTGTTTACACAAAGCTACATGCCAATTACTCGATAGCGCCTTGGTAGAATTCGTCCACACTATAATAGGGCCTCCCAACAAGGAATTCTTTCAGTTTCTTTCTGAATTTCTTTTCATTATACAGGGTGTTCCTCAAACACATGCTAATATTTAAGGAGGTAATTCTTAGACCCATTTTAAGGAAAAAACGTCCTATGGACGTATGTCCTAAACGCCTTAACTTTTGAGATACAGGGTGGCAAAGTTTTCAAAAATAATCAGTTTTTTAATAATAACTGAGATAATTTTGTAGACATCTTTGGCATATTTGGTACATATGTTCCATGCCTCAAGGCG